GGGCACGGGTAACATCTCAAAAGATACGCTCTCTCTATAAAAAGAGATGTTACACTGAGTTTATTTGTTATGTTAAATTACCTGGAAAGCATGTCAGATAAGTGATGATAAGCCTTCTTAGATTATAACATATGAGTAAATGTTACTAACATACATATTATAGAAATTGTTAAGAAATTCCTAAAATTCTGGTATGTCCTGGTATAATGTTGTGTCATAATTCTGTTACCTTAAAATATTGCACACCACAGAAATAACCAGACCTCTTTGTCAATTCCACTACAATGAACTCTCATCAGATCTTTGACAATGGGTATTTTAATAGTCACTTACAGTTACTATTTTTACTCTTGCAAAAGTGTTCCTACAAAAGTACTTTCCTTCAAGGAGATTCAAGAAAAGGACTTTGACAAGTTCAGGTTTCTGATAACTTTATGATCATAAAACCGGGCTGGGTAAGAATTTCTAGAGCTAAAGAGAAAACGGGATTTAAGGGAAACAAGTACTAATTACATGGAACTGAATAAACTGAGAAGGAGGATTATAATTTTTATGAGTTTTTGTTTGAAATATTGCCTGTTCTGTTCTGTTTTTCCAGATTTAGAAAAAAAATTTTAAAAATATATTTATTTATTTTGAGAGAGCGCAAATCAAGGAGGAGCAGAGAGAGGGAGACAGAGAATCTGTTGCAGGGCTCAAAACTCAAACCATGAGATCAAGCCCTGAGCTGAAACCAAGAGCTGGCTGCTTAACCAAATGAGCCACTCAGGTGCCCTTGTTTTTCCAGATTTAAGGAAACATTTTTTCTCTTTTTTCTTAAGCTATCAACAACTTGGTAAGATATACCTTTGTGAACAAAGATGAAACAATTACTTTTTCTCCCTATCTGATACTTCCAGAATTTGGAAACTTACTGAATATGCTTATTTTCATGGCAATATAGTGTGTAATTTCAGTAAGAATCCATTCTCCTGGGTTTCCAGAACACAGCTGGAAACACTGGCTATATTACCAAGGTTTTTACTAGAATGCCATATTTGAGAAGGAGGTGTGTAAGCTCAGACATGATCAGACAATTCTAAGGAACTAAGGCTGGTGTTATGAAGCCAATGAAGCACCTTGAAAAAACTGGCCTGATATCTTGCTTGAAGGGTTCCTAGCATGCTTACAGGTGAGTAAGTGTTTTCTGGCAGGTGCAGGAACCTTATGATATTTTAGACACCTCAAGAAAAGAGGAATTCACCTAAACTATAGGTATTGCAGGTTAAGTCTGATGGCCTTGGCTTGATGGTTCTAGCTTCAAGAGGCCATTTTAAAAACTTCAATCTGAGATTCCTTATGAAAGTTCCAGCAAAGAGGATTAAAAGAGCCTATATGACGGTCAATCCCTATTCTTGCTGCACTTATGCAAGTAATCAGACCAAATTTATTGAAACTAAACTTAATCTGCAAACAAATTAGTCTTACTGCGTTTATCTCTGGTAGAAATGGGGTGGCTAGTAGAAACCACAGTATACACTTCTACTCCTGCTGTCTCTGAGGTTTTATCTTCTGCCTATAAGTTGGACTGGAGCCTCATTATTCTACTCTTCTTGGATAGCTGGCTATAACTCTCCAAACTAACATTTCCAGTTTTTCTCCTACACCTCTGACTTGGAATCATTGAGAGCTAAATTGCCCTTTTTTGAAGCCATTAAACCTAGGCTGGACAATTGGATATAAATTTCAGAGAATCATCACAACAGCTCACATATGGATAATCTTCATGCCGGCTGCTGTGTGGAGCACTCAGAAAGATCACCAAAGACATTCAAACTGCAACAGGAAAACCTATCAGTTTGCCGCTGTCTGCCCTCACTCTGTCTGAAGGTGCTTCAAGCTGAACATCTAGAAATCTTCTCAAATGGCTGCCTTCAGAACAGAAACTAGGATTACAATCTGCCAGTCATTAGCCACTATGTTTATTTCCACAGAAATGTATTTTACTTAAATACCTGATTTCCGGCACCACAGGCCTAACTTTGGGTGCCCACCTGCATCACTGCCTCCTGAAATGAGACACAACTATCTAACTGAACCCATCCATTATCAGGACTAAGAGCCTGGTTCAGTGATATGGAACAATCTACTAGCTTGAGTTCTGGACTGTGAAACTTCTTAGAAAAATTTCAAAGGTAGGACTAACAGGGAGTTGAATAGATGACCCCAAAATATGCCACTTTGGCATGTGGAATGTTTTGAGCTAAAGATAATCAATACTCAGAAGATTCAAGAAAAACTTTTACCTTTCTCTTAAATACTAAAAGAATTTAGATAGGGGGTCTAGCCCAGAAAGAGAGCTGTTACCAGAGTTAAGTTGTTAAGAATGACCTCCGTATGGGAGGGCAAACACATCTAATGACCCAACATCTGTTCTTCCTATTGTCTTGTGAATGCCCATCCCCCTCACCTTTTTAAACTGTACTGTTATTATTTTATTATTAAGTAATCCACTTCTGTGACTGTCATGAAACCCAGGTGGGGTTAACAGTAATGAGTCCTAGAGGTAACTATACCCAACTATGGACTTTCTGGGTATAAGCACTATCTTCCCTCTCTACCTCAGCTGAAAACCCAGACTCATGAGGCCTTAATCCCAGCCTCCCTATTCTTGGAAGATGCCAAAGCCAACTATATAGCAGGTTTTTCAGAGAAGATGACTTTGTCTTCCCAGAAGACAAATGCTCTAGTTTGCTTTATGAGGCAGATAGTAACCCCCAAGCCCCAAACCCCAAACAAGTTGGGACCTGCGCAGACCTCACTGTGCCCTCTTCCCCTTTAAGGCCCTAGACCTCTATCCTATTCCTTAGCTCAGAATGGCACGTAAGCCTCAATTGCCTGACTTGTCCTTGGGTATCATATTTTTATGGAGTCCTGTGCGTACATAATTAAATTTTTCTCCTATTAATCTGTCTTATGTCAATTTAATTAATAGACCAAAAGAAAAAATTTTCCTAATACTAGTAATGAAGGCATCGGAGAACAAAAGGAACATGCTTCTTTTTGCCAGATTAGACCTGACCTGTGGAAGGATTCCAGGTCAACTAGGGGAGGCAAAGACTTTTTCTATCACAGAAGTTGCAGCAAAACCTCATCAGTTCTAGAAACATAGCCACCACAAGCTTACATGCACTGAGGGGCTTCAGGGTTCCAGGCATTGGGTCAAGTGCTATTCAGTCAATTGTCACCACCATGCTAATAAAAGGGGAGCCAACACTACTTGATTTTATGGACAAATGAGGCAGTGAGTAACCTGGCAGGGCCAAGACAATGCTATCATGCCATGCATCTGTGTTGCCCCACAAGACAAAACCTGAGGCCCCACAAATTGCAAAGGAAGCATGGTGGTTGGCCTCCAAGGCCCCACGATGCCACCCCTCGAGGATGTGCATGCTGAGAAGTGAGTCCCTATGTCTGCCCTTGATTCTGGCCTGGGGCTGCTTTCACCCATGGAATGTGCAGGATATGATGGCATGTGACTTCAGGGCATTTTCCTTCCTGATCTGCTAGGGAGAAATGCAGGCTGCTCTGCTGGGGGTGGGCCACATGGAGGAGCACTGAGTTGCAAGACATTCACCCAGACACCCCAGGTGTCACCACACAACACCCTAGGGATCCTAGAAGAAGTGCTGCCCAGCTCAAGCCTATGCAATCACGAGATACAACAATGACTGCTGTTTGCTTGTTTAACCAGTTTGGTGTGTACTTGTTGTGCAGCAACAGATAACACAATAGGGAGATGACTCCTCTGGGGCAGGAGCTGTCCACACCCTTCATGGCAGGTGTGTCCCAAGTGGGCACTTCATGCAGATGACAGGACTCCAAGGCTAGCCATGGACAAGGCTACCTGCCTTCTTCTTCTTGGCTAAATAGGTGTTTTCTGGTCCCAGAACAAAGTCTGCAGGTATGCCTGAGACATGGACATGTTTCTGGTTTGCAACAAAGGGGATAGATACCATAATAAGGTTAAACACTAGGATTTGAAATAAGTGAACTGAAATAAGATGTATGTGAAAAACAAAAATTCCTGCTGAACATTACCACCCTGTCAGAACAACCAGGCCCTTAGAAGAAGTGCAGAGAAGTGCTAGGCCTATGGAGGGGAGCGGGTGTGGAGCAGGGAGCGGCAGGGCTGAGGGAAGGGCTTGTGGCTGGAACACAGGTGTGCACTCACACACACACTTCTGGACCAGAGGCATGGGTCAAGGCCTTTGGGCCTTGATCGATGCCATCAGTAAAGAGAGGCCAATGCCAGCATCAGATTAGTGCCCCCCAAATCGGGAAACTCCTAAGTGTCTCCTAAGACCTCATAAGAGTTCATGTATCCTGGTGGCCAGCACCAGGCTTCTCCTCAGCCAGGCCAGTCAGAGAAGATCAGAAAAGGCCTGGGAGGAAACATCCTGACCTGACATAGGCTCCATCTCTAGTCCAATGCCATGTCTGCAGGAAGGGCCAAGCCCATGTTTAATGATCCTTCACAGAGCAAGAGAAGATGGAGGGACATTCTCACAAGACTAGAATTGCTGTGAATAAGGAAATTCAACCCCAGCTCCAAGGCAGCAGCCTCAGAATCACCTCCTCATGGTCCCTCCTGTACTGTCATGAAGAATAATGTTCCCTCCAGATCCTTAAAAACCAGTCCATTCCAAACATAGGTGATGATTATACAGTTTCTTGGCTAAAATCCCCCAGCTCAGTGTTTGAGAAATAACTTCACTAGCATCTCTTCCTTTTGAAAAATAACTTAGCATGTACACAGCTAAAACACATCACCATTCATCACCATCAGAGTGCCCACTGACAAGATGTGGGGTGCGTCCCTCCATATGCATCCCTCCTGGGCTCTCCCAGTCTCCCAGGGCCCAGCGGGCTACTATGAGGGCGGAGGGTGGGAGCACCTTTCCTGAAGGGCCCCTGAAGGCTGCTGAGCAAGGAGGGCTCTGAATTCTTATTCCACTCACCAGGTTTCCCCTCCATGCCACCCAGAATTGCTAGCCGTGCCGACATCAATCCGAGGCCCAGGTAGCTGTGGAAAGAAAATCCTAGGTGAGGGACTGGCCTGCCACAGGAAGCGCTCGGTGCCATCTTCAACTCCACCTCCAGTATGGTCACCCGGCCTGGATCCAAAATAAGTGGGAGAGGGAGGAAACCTGTCCCAAGGCAGCAGATTTTCTGCTCCTAGAAACCTCTCTTTGTGGAGTTCAGGCCATTTAGTTCAACAAATAAAAGCCTATTAATTGATAAGAGCTTGCTTAGGAGCTGTGGGCACCAGTGAACAACACAGATGCGCCTTGATTTTTATGGAACACATGTGCTTTATGCCAATAATCTACTAAAGGTGCTACGTAGTAAATAGATGGCTGAGAAAATTCCTGCACAATCCATGGGCTCTTCCCACCTTTTGGAAACCTCCTCCAAAGCAGAGGAGAATAAGCACAAAAAAGAGAAATCTGATTTTACTGTAGGTGAATTGAAAAATGAAGCAGGGAGAAGGCAGGAGAAGGGAGGAATAGCAGGGAGGAAGAAGAGGAGGAGGAGGGAGAGCCTCCAGTGGGGCATCCAGCAGAAGGGTTTCTGGGGCCTGGCCTGTTTGTGACCGGGTGCTCTGGCCACTGCACAGGGCTGGCTGAGCCACACTCCTGGACAGGCAACCTTCCGCCCCCACTCCCAAAACAAACCTGTAGGAATAGAGCTTGTAGGTCTGATTAAACATCTGGAGTGACGTCAGGTAGCCAGGCGGGGAGGTCTGGAGGGTGTCCTGAGGAAGAATGTGAGGATCACTATCCTTCCCGCTGGTCTTTCATTTGAAAAGACCAGGGTATATGGAAACCAGTTTGACAATAAATTTCATATAAAAAAAATAATAAATACATATCCAAAAAAAAAAAAAAAAAAGAAAAAGACCAGGGTATTCACAGATGTATTCAATTAAATTAGTTTTTTGTTAAGTCACATGTTATGAAAGAGTTTGGAACAAGCAAATGAAAAATAAAATGTCCAAAATGAAAAACTATGTTTTTCCTCCTTATAAGTAATATTTACCATTTTGACAAATATGGCCCAATCAAGACAATTATGAGTAAATTTAAATGTTCTTCCACTGAAAACTAAGAATAACAATAAAGTGGTTGGTGAGGAAGGCACTGTAGTTAACTATGGTCTTGACTGAGAGCATTTTTATCTCCTTTACAAGGTCTATCACACAGGGCTTGAGCTCTCTCAAGCTCTACTGGCCCCTTAATTAATAGCCCCTTTTCTGGCTGCCCTAGTGGGGAAGGGGAGCATCTTACATCCTATGGCCCAAAGGGTTCCAGGTAGCATCTAATTTATTATCCCATTGAAGACCAAATTTCCATTTTTTTCCCCGGGCAGAGTTAAAATTAAGTGAAGAAGCATTAACTGTGAATGACTCTGGCCTTCAGGACAGGAACTGACTACACAGGCCCAGAGGCTCCAGTTCTATGGGCCTCCCCTAAGGGGCTGCAACTCTTGGGGACAGGCAGCCTTGGGAGGGGGTAGGGGCCACAGTGGGGTGACAGAGACCAGTTACCTCGACTCTTGGAAGGAAGGTGATCTGAGTGGACCCTCCACCCAAATCCAGCATGCCCACACTGCTCCTTCCTGGGGTTTTCAAACTGCCTGGAGCATAGTGAATAGAAACCAAAATAGCACTGTCGCGTTAGTAATTAGACCAGAACAGCCAAAAAAGTAAAAAGAGTTTAGGAGCCAGGCCCCTCAGTGAAAAGAAGAACAGAAAAACAGCTGTATTTAACAATCTCTATGGAAGGATGCACTACATGTTTAAGGGACATGAACGTGGCTCCACTGGCTGTGGCTTTAACAATATAGGATGACACTGATCTTCAGCAGAGAAGTGGGGCCTGCCCTTATCTACTGCTCACCCCTCAGAGACAGACTTCCATGATGTCCCTTCATGCCCAGAGGCATGCCTTCCCCTAGCTCAGCACTCCCAATCTGGCCCCTAACATGGCTCTCCACCCCAAGGGGCAAATCCTGCCACAAAGCTTCTTTCTTTTTCATATATGCATCACACGCGCTAGTCTTTGCCATAATTACAATAAAGAGACAAAAATCAACATGTACTGAGAATAATCTAAGAATAACAACAACTTGCCACTTCAATCCAAGAACTAATGTTTTTGTTCCCTGTTCTGTCTACAGCACAGGAATTCAATTCTAAGGTGATGAGCAGATACCACATTTACTATGTGAAAGCATGACTGGTTTTATTCATGACTTCCCTAAGAAATGAGAGGACAGGGTCCCAGGCAGGTGTGGCTCCAGGACAAGAGGCTGGAACCATGCTGGTGAAAACCAAGCCTCAGAGAAGCTGCTTTTCCTAGCATTTTTATCTGCAAGCTCCATGCTTGCCCTGATGAGCCCCCAACCCATCCCAACACCCTACTTTGGGTAGCAACACTGGGGAACCCTAAGGGGTTAAAGACTAGAAATGAGGCTGCTGCTGTCAAGAATGGCATCTGTGGACTGTCAGCTTCTGGCGGGTGGGGAGGAATGTACCTGTTAGGAAGTTGACGGTGATCCACGCTGAAACGCCTATAAGAGAGGGTCACAGACGACATGTGAATAACCTGAGATGCTGTAAACAACACATGCACTCAAATGACCACTTTCAGATTCCAGGAGCTGGAAGTGAGCACTCATCACTCCTCAGTCTCCAGACCAACTACAGGAAGAGGCATCAGTCATCAAGTCACCAACAGCTTCTGGAAGACTGTTCTAGAAGACACCACACTAAAACAATAAATACTCTGTCAAATGTTGTATCTCTCCCTCCTATTCTTTATCATCAACTTCCACTTTTTGGAAGAGAACCAAATGTTGCTCTCCCCTCCCCTGGTCATATTTAAAATCAGGGGCTGGTGAGGAACCTGACCTTTTCTCTCTTAGCAATAACAATGTAACAGCAAACTTCTAAATAGGGTAGCAAGTGGGGATTCTCTCTAAATGTTCTTAAAACTGAAGAGGATTTGTTTTCAGAAACTTCATCTGTGCCAAGTTTGGAGCTGGTCAAGATGAGAACCCATCTCTAACACTGGCCCACAAAGATCCTCTAAGACAGTAGAACTGTGAATTGAGTGGGACTGCCATTTTTGTTTGCCTGTGTCTGACCAAGGAGAAAGTTCCCACTCGGAAGCCAACAGCAGCCCTGCATACAGCCTGTCTCGAGGGACAGAGAGCTTGGGAGACCCTACCTTCATCCGTTCCATTCATGATGGAAACACAGTCATCTCCCACAAGGAAAGGCGATGCCTTAAACACTTCTTTCACCTAAATGTAAAGAGACATGTCTTTATCCTTCAGAATCTAGACTCAAAGTTCCCAAATATGCTGTGTTTTCAGCAGGTGGTGACAAAACAGCAAAGGATGGCAGCTGTTGCTGTGAAGTAACAAAACTCTTGTTTTAAATTTCTCTAATCCTTGGCAAGTGGTATCCTCCTTAATCTACTCTCTGGGCTGGGAGAGGCAGAGGCTACCCTGAAGAGCCCTGTCTTCAAGCCACTTTGGGCTAGAATTGCTCAGGGGCATCCTGAGCCTACTGGGCCCCCAAACACTGCCCAGCTTTAGGACTAGAGATGAGGGACAAGAAACCCCTCAAGGCAGAGTTTAGCCTGGGACTCAGGAGACAGTCCCACAGAGGGAAGGTGAAGGCAGAGGAGCAGCTGCATTTGGGTGTATTTCCTTCTCCTTTTTTTTTTTTTTTTTTTTTTTTACCAAGTATTGACACACAGAAACTTCAGTACTCTGCACATTCCAACTGCACTTGTGGCCCACCATCCGACTTGAGCATGCAAGGTAATTTTTATAAGGGACTTTGAAAAATGTGCAAAAATTCATCATTTAGCAGTTGCACAGTTTAGAAACAGTACAGAGGATGAGGGGACCATATTGTTGAGAGCAGTTTCCCTAATGGGCCTGACAATAAGAACCATTCAGGCACCTGTTAGAGATAGGGTCCAGAGCCCCTTTACAGGGCTGCCGCTGGTTCTGGGGACAATCCTAGCCATTTGAGAAACGAACAGGGCCGGAGAAGGCTAAAGGCCTCCTCAGCATTACATCTGTGGATCAGACCAAGAGGGAAACTAGCAATTTCCATGAGAACAAGCAGGCTGGAGATGAAATGTCAGGAACTTGGCTTCCACAGCCCTCTACAAGGAACAAGTCTGCATGGAAGGAAGCCCTTCAAAAGGCTTCAATGTATTTTTAAAACAAAGTTGCTGTTATCACACAACAGATTCATTCTAGAAAACACAAACAGCTAAAAGTGATGCTGTTAACATTTTGATGTGTTTTCCTCCTCAAGAAGCTTCTACATAGCCCGTCTGACTGCTTGGACAATGGCTGAATATTTGGTGTTTCCAGATATCATAAGCTATGCACCTCCGCCCCCCCCCCCCCCCAGGGGTAAATGGATAAGATCACCTTTTGCAGTAACTTCTGAGCCTTTTCTCCTGGTAATAGACGTAAACCAGCTGTGGCCTTGAGAACCAAGGGGGTAGCCTTCCAGAAGTCAAAAGGAACGTCTTTTTTAGCAACATCCAGTAATTCCTGAATTCCCGAAGTACTCTGTGAAGGTGGTAAAAGTAAAGTAGAATCTGTCAAAGATCAGCATACAGGGTCACAGATGCTCCCCCAACCCTTTTGCTTTTATTAACTCATAAATACATTTTCTTCTAATTTTCCAAATTGGCAGAAAATGACTTAAGTGGTGCTGGTGGGTGTGAGGGGCCACCCACCAAGTGAGTATAGAGTGCAGAGAAACACCCTCGGCAGTGGAGCATGGTGGGATAAGGACACACACAATAGGGGTCTTGCTGTTCTATACTCTGGCAACCAAAACCCCACCCAGCCCCCATCACCAACCCCCAGTGGGTGACCTCAGATGAGCTGTGATTCCCCTGGACATCGTGGGGAATCTCTCATGGTGCTAAAATCCCATGAATAACTACACAGAGGAATCATTTACACCTACCAGAATGCTTGAGGTCCAAAAGTTGGCTACGGCCCTGTGTCAGTGCATAGGTGGCAAAACAACTTTGGTAAAGTATTGCTGGGCATTATCAATAGGTACAATGCTGTGGGGTGGTATGGGGGAGGGCAATTTGGCAATGTCTGTCCAAGAAAACATACATTCCTTTTCCTCAGAAATCCCATTGTAAGAATTCATCTGAGATAAATGCCCTTGCATGTGTGGGCAATGAAGTTCATATAAGGTGACAAACTGCAGCCTTATACAGTTAAGAGTAAAGTGTTAGACATTATCCAAATGTCTTTCAGGAGGGGACTGGTTCTGTAATTTAATGTGCCCGCACATACTGCAATATCATTGCCAGAAAAATCAAGGAAGCTCTTCATATCCTGATAGTAAATGTTCTCCATGTTATACTGCTGAAGGACAAAAACAAAGTATGTAACAATGTGAATGCCATTCTATTGTAAAAATAGGGGAGGGGGAAGAATATAGATGTATTTGCTCATAGGTATATCACCTAGCCCTTGAAGGACACATAAGAAACCAAGGACACCAGCTCTCCTGGAGGGGACTAGAGAGGGAGGAGAGTTCTCATTGTCTGCCCTGTGAAGCTGTGAAATATGTCCCACTTGAATGTGTACTGCCTACTAAAACAAATAAGAGTTTAAAAGTCCTATGAGTTTATTCTAAAGACACCTAATTTAATCATGTGTAACCTTATGGTTACTCTAGCATCACTCATTTCAGTTTTGTTTTCAATTTTAACCAAGCCACAGGAAAGCAGGGTATGACTTCACTGAGATCAAGAGACACTTGTGGGCAAAAATGATACATCAGCTTTTAAGACATATTTGAGCCAAAAGGCATGTATAGGTATATCACTAACTAGTCCGTTTCATCAGTGCTTTAGTGGAAATACAGGTGTCCAGTATTAGTGCAGCTATAAGCTTTAAGGGCTCAAAAAATATAAAAGCTACAAACTTACAAAAATCATTGTTTGACAGTTTAAATAAATCTTTCATACTTACTTGGTTTTGTGGATTTTACATAATACATTTTTAACTTCAATTTTTTTTTTAACTTTTATTTATTTTTGAGACACAGAGAGACAGAGCATGAACAGGGGAGGGCAGAGAGAGAGGGAGACACAGAATCTGAAACAGGCTCCAGGCTCTGAGCTGTCAGCACAGAGCCCGACGCGGGGCTCGAACTCACGGACCGTGAGATCGTGACCTGGCTGAAGTCGGACGCTTAACCGACTGCGCCACCCAGGCGCCCCTAACTTCAATTTTTTGTGTTAGTCAACTTTTGTCACCCTCAATCAGAGGAACTGAAACAAAAACAAACTCTCAAATAATGCTTTTTTTTAAAGCAATTTTTTTAAATGTTTATTTTTGAAAGAGAGAGAAACAGAGCACAAGCAGGGGAGGGTCAGAGAGAGAGGGAGACACAGAATCCAAAGCAGGCTCCCGGCTCTCAGCTGTCAGCAGAGCGGGGCTTGAACCCAAGAACTGTGAGATCATGACCTGAGCCAAAGTTGGACACTCAACCAACTGAGCCACCCAGGCGCCCCTCAAATAATGCTTTTTGTCAAGTTGGTAGGCTTTGTGTTTTTGAACCACACTAAGACTTCTGGGTGGCATGTGTGTTGGCTGGGGGAAGGCCCTAGGGTGGGGGCAGCAGCCCTCCTTGAGCCTCACGTGGAGTACCAGTTTCCTCCAGTTGGATCATTCTAAACAGCAGGAGATGTCCCAGGTTAGTACTGTCAGAGATGCTTTTCTCTGTGAAGAAGGCCTACTGCACTCAACAGATAGGGAGCTGGCTTTAACAGATTATACAGTTGGAAGACAAATCTGAAGAACAACAGATGTGAGAGAAAATAATTACCTTTTCAACATCATCAGCATAAGCAGAAAGACCTGGCTTCAGTGCTTTGAAGGTCTCATGGGTCAAAGTGGGAGTTTCTAAGGGGGAAACATGTTTAAAAAGGTACACGGCAAATATATACACGAATATATAAATATATACAACAATGGCTTGCTGCCCTTTTCAAAGCAGATGCCTGAAATCAGACCAATCCCAGGGTGACTGGGATGCTGCCTCTTTAGTTCAGATAAACAAGATGAATGTTAACACCTGAGGCTTTGGTCAGAATTTTTTTTTTTTTTTTTTTTTTAGTCAACCTTACTGAGGTATAATTTATATACAAAACTGTATCCATCTAAAGTGCTAAATTTTAACATGGTTTTCGTGAAATTAACAGAGGAGCAGGACAGATGATTCCAAACTGCAAACATGAAAATCATTTCTCTGTTCTAGGATGGATGTAGTACAGGTTCTGAAAGAACATTTATTTTTTCCCTTCTTTTAAACCATAAGGGGCCTGGACTCATGAGCATATAGCAAGGGAGTGTTCAGGGGGACAGTGGTGGCCAAGGGATGCTGGTCCAAATTTGGACATGAAGACCCAGGAGGAAAAATCAGGGACAGAACTTTTTGAAAGGATGTCTCTCCAGAGATAAAATACTGGAATATGGCTACTAAAGGATTACATTCTGAATATGAATTGTCTTAAAAGCTTCAAAACCGTTATGGGAAGTATGTAGGTCTGGCATATAAAACTTTAACTACTGAAATGAGTTAATTAATAGAGCAGATGAAGAGTAGAGAAAACATGCCACAACAGTTTTGGAGAGAACTACTAATGGTGTCTGTTGCCACCAGCTCAAAAACAGTGTCTACTCAAAAGGTTTCGAGGGTCAGCAAAGAACCAGACACGACCAGCAGACCTACTGAGCAGCCAGGGGGAAAACACTCACTGGCTAGAAGCTGGAGGGTGGCCCTCAGAGCTGGAGGGTACAAGGGGCGCTAGAGAAGGAGATCAAAGTGGGGAGGGAAAGAGTTCAGAGCTGGGCAGTGACTGTGTCTCTCCACAGGAGCAGTTAGGGGGCGAACATACACAAACTCCCTCCTCCTTCTTGCCGGAAGCCTGTGGTCCCCACCCTAGCAAGCAAAGCTGATGGGGCTCAGACTCCAGCTCCCTCCGCACTGCTGAGGCCACTCTCGTCTGTCACCCCCCTCTCCTCCTGGACCCACTGGGCAGCACCATGTCATCCTGGGTCCTAGGTCCATGCCAGTTCATGACTTACCCAGACTGCTGCCTCATACCAGTCTGAGTTTGGGGCAACTTCCTGCCTTAACCTCTCCCAACGCAGCTTCTGGCTTAAGTCATGGTCCTAGTCATCTGACATGCTGGTAAACACTGGGACAGGACAGGCCACCCAATACCCTTGGGGATCTCAGTTGCCCTGAGGTGGTCACCAGATGCTAGTGTGAGTATGGACAGTCTGGTGCTCCAGGGAAATTCAGATTCCTGGGCCCCAAACCACACCGGAGCCAGCTTCTCTGGGAACTGCATTTTTGACAAGTTCCCAGATGAGTCCGAGGCAGGGCATCCAGCCCGCATGCTGATAAACCATTCTCTCTAAGTGGAAGAGATCCCGAGAGCTCTGACGTGAGCAAGGAGAACCATGCAGTGAATGGCCAGGGCCCTCTGCCCAGCATACCTCCAGGCTGCCGGGCGAATTGGAAGATGTGCACACGGGTGCCAGTGCTTCCTGCGTCAAACATGATGCCATAGAAAACCTCATGACCATGTGAAGCTGTCCCCAGAGGACTATGAGCCTGCTGGCCCCTCCGGGCCCCAGACGCTACCTCAGTGATGCTGAAGAAGGCCTGGGTGGCGGAGGCCCAGTGCCACTTGATATAGGCGACATAGATGAACAGGCAAATGAACAGCCCCAGAGGGTAAGCCACTTTTGTCATCTTCAGGTTCCCATTATTTGGTATTTTTCTCATGCCTCTATCTGCTGACTGTGCTGAAGCTGTTGGTGAAAAGGGAGGGAAAGCAGGAAAAACATGTTAGCAAGCTTCCAGGGCGAGTCAGACAAACATTTGTGCTTGGAGACAAAACATTCAACCAGAAACTGGTCTGCATTTTTCTGCCTGGAATGAGAAGCTTCATTTGGTCTTCAAAGAGCTTCTAGAAGGTATGAGCCCACTTTATAGAAGAGAAGAGGGGGTGCCTGGGTGGATCAGTCGGTTGGGCGGCCGACTTTGGCTCAGGTCATGATCTCGCAGCTCGTGAGTTCGAGCCCTGCATCGGGCTCTGCGCTGACAGCCTGGAGCCTGCTTCAGATTTTAGGTCTCCTCCCTCTGCCCCTCCCCCATCCACGCTCTGTCTCTCTCTCAAAAATAAATAAACATTAAAAAAATTTTAAGAAGAGAAGAGGAACTGAGGCTAGTTATATGTATATATACATATACACGCATACATAAAGTCTTTCTATATATATATATATAAGACTATAGTCTTTATAAGACTAGATAATCTGTTCGAGGCGGGAGGTCTTGCTGAGGCTGACTCGGGGCACAGATCCACAGCTGCCAGCTCTAAGGCAAGTGCTGTTCCAGACAAGTGGCTTTTGGATTTATGGGCACTTTAAAAAGCCAGATGTAAATGGTATCCCCAAACCTCTCAGGGTACAGGAACATGTGTCCAATCCATTCTTTCAGTTCTCGCTTCCTCTTCTATATAGGTGTTCACTTCTCAGAAGGCTTAAAGTCCCATCCTTTGGGGACTACAGAGAGCCCCAGCCACGTCTGAGAAATGCAGCTCATCTTCCTGGAAGTTTCACAGGAGATGTCTCGTTTTACTCAGGCAGAATACTCCGCCAAGGAGGAAATAATGCCTATGTGCTTTCCCAGCCTATGAAATCCTACCCGAGCAGCAAAAGAAACTAACTCCGCGCCACTGTCTTTGGTTCAATACCCCTCAGCCCCTCAAATAAAGCATTCATTCAAGCTTTCTTAGCAGCTTCTGGTATAAGACACCATGTGGGAACCTGAGGCTTCAAAGAATAAGAAGCAGGGTACTTGATTCTCAGGGCTCCCTACCCTTGGGGAATGTCCACCTGTCTGTCCATCCCTCACTCTGTAAGTTGTAAATGGAGTGGACTCTCCTAGGAGTAAGGAGACAGGGAAGTACAAGGCTGAATGCAGGACATGGGTTTATACTCTGCCCATAGCAGCATGTGACTGTGGGCAAGTTAACCTTCATGAGGGCTGGTCTCCTCATCTGTAAGGGGGAAAGCTGCTTTGTGATGCTGTTTGGGGATACAATGAGATGTGTGATGTGCTCAGAAGAGGACACAGAGAATGTGCCAGCCCATATTCAATGCTGGCTTTATAGCAGGGTAGTGGGAGGTAACACCCCCCTTGGAACCAGGGACAGTGACAGGCAGGAGTGCTGGAAGATAGTGTGACTATACTCTCTGGGAAGAAGAAAAGCAGGGGCCAGAGTTAAAAGTGCAGGGGGCAAGCCTGTGGTGGTCTTCACACCAACCTTGAGGTTGTCTGGGCAGAGGAGAAATGGAATGAAAGTGGCCCTTGGGGTGGTGGGGAAGGGAGTCCAGGACTTCTGTGGCCACTCCTTTCCAGGATCTAGCCCTGCAGCTACACCTGGATGCCCTCAGATCCAAGAGCACTGCCCAAACCTTTGGATGTCTCTGTGCTCCTGCTCAGGGGACACCAGTGGCCCACCACCCAAGCTTAGGCAGGAAGCATGGCAAATCACCCTTCCCTGAGTATCTGCTGTGCACAGGGCTGAGGGAAAGTCTAGTTGGCAGGACCAAGGAGCAAGCCTCCTCCCCACCCCTATTCCTGCCTAACTTTGAGCCTCTCTTGGGTCTCACTTGGGAGCTTCTTACTGCTCTTAGGATCGTGGTGCACACCCTGGATCCTCACCAGCCTTTGTAGCTTTCTCTCATCCTCTCTTGCCTTTGCTCATAGTGCTCTGAGAACCTAGTGCCTCCTTCTGTCCCTAGAACTCAGCTTCTCTCTGCCTCAGTCCCTTTGCACACACTGTTACCAGTTCCCAGAATGCTCGTGCAACCCAGTCAACCTTGTTCTCATCCCCAAGCCTCAGCTGAAATGTTATTGTCCCCACCATCCCTGACCACCCTCAACTTGAAAGATCCTCACCCCCATTATGCTCTCTCTGTACTCCCTGCCCCCTCTGGCCTGGTACCCCCATAATCTGTAACAATGCCAGGATCTGTGGGATTAATTCCTGAAGGTCCATGTCACCCTCTACGCCATGAGCTTCAAGGTCAGGAACTTATCCTGGTTGTGCCACTGCAGCTCAGTTGACAACACAGGTCCCTATCTAGAAGGATGGAGGATGCACCTCTATCCCTGTCTACCTCCCATACTGTCACCAGACACACAAGAGTCCCCATTTTGGGGTGCCCAGGTGGCTCAGTCAGTTAAGCATCTGACTTTGGCTCAGGTCATGATCTCACAGTTTGTGAGTTCAAGCCCCACATCGGGCTCTCTGCAGTCAGTACAAATCCTGCTTCAGATCTTCTGTGTCCCTCTCTCATGTACATGTGTTCTCTCTCTCTCTGAAAAATAAACATTAAAAAAAAATAAAAAGAGTCCCTGTTTCAAATCCTTTAATGAGGAGAGGAACATCAGCAAGACAGTAGAATAGGGAGCTCTAGGCCCTTGCTCCCCCACAGAAATATTAGAAAAAAATTGGGACTGGCTGTAATATTTTATAGGCATTCTGAAAAACAGTCAAAGATCCATAGATTTCTACAAGCAAATGCCGAATCAAGAAATCACATTCAGAATGTTCGTTAAGTTCAGTGGTGTTTACTCATCCTTGCCCCCACCCCTCTCTGCACAGTGCAGTCTAAAGGAAGCAGCAGCTCAGTGTCTACCTATCTCCTTCCTTCAAACTGGAGGGATCAGAGCAACATTCTAACCTATCTTCAGGCTGCCCAAGAGACAGGTCTCTGTTTTGCCTGACTTGGAGCTCAGAGCTCCAATGGGGGAAAACCGTGGAAGGCAGCTATGGGTACTTCTTATGAAAGTCACGGGGTGACTGCAGAACCACACATGCTTGGGGCAAGAGGCCAGGTGTGTGTGTGTGTGTGTGTGTGTGTGTGTGTGTGTGTGTGTGTGTAAGAAACAAGAAAACACTGAACACCTAAGAAGGAGTGTGGATGGAACCGTTTAAGAAATTAAGACATTTAAAAGCAACCATAACATACGGGAGAATTGAAACTAATACACACACAGGCCCAGGTAACAATCCTGAGAGGACCTTAAGCCTTTGCCCTGGACTGACTCGAAGGCTCAGACACATTCTGTTAATTAGTGAAGATCTTTCATGGCACAGAACCAGTCTGCAAAGCCTCGGAGAGGTGGCTATTTTCTTAAATGCTCCACTTTTCAACAATAGAAATCACAAGGCATACCAAGATACAGGAAAATTTGGCCCATTCAAAGGAAGAAAGGGTGGCAGAAACTGTCTCTGAAGAAACATAGGCATTGGATATACCAGATAAAGACTTAAAACAACCGTCTTACATATGGTGAAACACAAGAACTGAAAGAAATATGGAATATGACATATGACAACAAAATGGGAATATCAAGGAAGAAATAGAAATTATAAAAAGCAACCAAATTGTGGAGCTAAATATATTGAAAAATTCACAAGAGGGGTTTAACAGCAAATCTGAGCAGGCAGAAGAACCAGTGAACTTGAACATGGACATTAAACTTATTGAATCAGAGGAGCAAAAGAAAAAAAGACATAAGAAAAGTGAACAGAGCCCAAGGGATTTATGGGACACCACAAGGGACCAACAGGCACATTTCAGGAGCCCCGGAAGAAAACACAGAGAGAAGGACAGAAACAATGGCTGAACTCCAAGGAGGATAAACCCAGAGACTCATGCTGAGATACACTGTAATCACACCACTGAAAGCCAGAAAATAAAAGAAGGAATCTTGAAAGCAGCAAGAGAAAAGCAATTCATCATGTACAAAGAATCCTTAAATAATAAGATTATCAGCCCATTTCTCAACAGAAATTTTGGAGATCAGAAAGCAGCGGGATGATATATTCAAACTGCTAAAAGAAAAATCTGTCAGCTGAGAATTTCATATTCAGTAAAACTGTCCTTCAAAAATGAAGGTGAAATTAAGGCATTCCCAGATAAATGAAAGCTGAGGGAGTTCTTTGCCAGCAGACCTGCCCTACAACAAATGCTAAAGGTTGACATGAAAGGACGCCAAACAGTAACAGAAATCCATAAGAAAATATAAAGATCTCCAAAGAAGTTAAATACGTGGACAAACACAACAACCAGTATTAGTGTATATTTGGTTTGTAACTCCACTTTTTATTTTCTTCAGCATTAAAAAAAACAAATGCTGAGGGGTATGTGGGTGGCTCAGTTGGTTAAGCGTCTGACTTCAGCTCAGGTCATGATCTCACAGGTTTTGAGTTCAGGCCTCTCATTGGGCTTCGTGCTGACCGTGTGGAGCCTGCTTGGGATTCTCTCTCTCTGCCCCTCCCCAACTTGCACTCTCTCTATCTCAAAATAAATAAAAGTAAAACAAAGCAAAACAAATGCTGTGACATCAAAAACAAATTAGGAAGATATATGATATAAAGGAAAAGAGTTAACATATGTAATTCAAGCTAAACTGGGATAAATTTTAGAACAGACTTATAATTTCAGGATGTTATATGTAATCTCTGTGGTAATCACCAAGAAAATATCTAGAAAATATATATAAAAGGAAATGAGAAGGGAATAAATACTGTCCTTAGAAAAGAATCAATTACACCCAAAGGAAAGCAATAACGGAGGAAATGAGGGACAAAAAAAGCTATAAGACCTACACAAAATAAAATGGCAAAAGTAGTCCTTCCCTGTCAGTACTTTAATTTTTAAATTTTTTTAAATGTTTATTTAGTTTTGAGAGAGAAGAGACAGAGCATGTGGGAGGGAGAGGCAGAGACACAGGGACACACAGAATCCAAAGCGGGCTCCATGCTCTGAGCTGTCGGCACAGAGCCTGACAGAGGGCTCAAACTCACGGACCGTGAGATCATGACTTGAGCTGAAGTTGGACACTTAACCAACTGAGCCACCCAGGCACCCCTCCCTGTCAGTACTTTAAATGTAAATGGATTAAACTTTCCAACCAAGATACATAGAGTAGCTGAATGGATAAAAAAACAAGATCCAACCGTATCATTCTACAAGAGACTTACTTTAGATCTAAGGGCATATACAGACTGAAAGTAAAAGAATGAAAAAGATTCCATGAAAAGAATAACCAAAACAGAGTAGAAGTGGCTATACTAACATTAGACAAAACAGACTTTGAATCAAAAACTGTCAGAAAAAATAAAAACATACAATGATAAAAGGGTCAAGTCTCCACTAACATAACAATTATAAACATATACAACAGAGCTCTTAAATATATGAAACAAACAGAACTGAAAGGAGAAATAGTTGTACAATAATAGTAGGAGAATTCAATATCCCACTTTCAATAAAGGATAAAAAAACCAGACAGAAGATCAATAAAGAAATAGGGAACTTGAACAACACTAAAGACCACCTGGACCTGAGAGGCACATACAGACCACCCAACAACAGCAGAATCCACATTCTTCTCAAGTGCACATGGAACATCCTCCAGGACAGACAAGATGAGAAGCTACAAAACATGTCTTAATGTATTTTAAAAGATCACAATCAAAGTATATTTTCTGTTATAGTGGAATGAAACTAGAAATCAATAGAAGAAGGAAAGCTGGAAAACTAAACACCACACTCTTAGCTAATGTGTCAAAAAAGAAATCAAAAAGGAAATCAGAAAATACCTTCTGACAGGTGAAAATGAAAACACAACATACCAAACCTTTGGAATGCAGTGAAAGCAGTACCAAGAAGGAAATTTATAGCTGTAAATGCTTACATTATAAGAAAGATAACTTTACACCTTAAGGAACTAGAAAAAGAACAAATTAAACACAAAACTAGAAGGAAGGAAACAATAAAAATTAAAGCAGGATAAGCAGAAGATAGAAAAACAGAGAAAAATCCATGAAGCCAAGAGCTTGTTCTTTGAAAAGATCACCTTAACTGAACCTTTAGCTATACTGACTAAGGAATAAAGAGAGAAGATTCAAATTATAACTAAAATCAGAAATTAAGGGAACATTACTACTGATTTTACAGAATGAAAATGATTATAAGAGTTTTATGTTCAACTGTACACCAATAATTGGATAACCTACATGAAATCAATAAATTCCTAGAAACACAACCTACCAAGATGAATTATGAAGAAATAGAAAATCTGAAGACCTATAACTAGTAAGGAGATTGAATCAGTAATCAAAAATCTCCCAAGAAAGAAAACTCCTGGACCAAATGACTAGTGATCTGGTCACTACTAATTTTACCAAACATTTTAAGAAGAATCCCAAAATCTTCCCCCGAATTGAAGAAAAGGAACGTTTTAACTCATTCAATAAGGCCAGCATTACCCTAATACCGAAGCCACTACAAGACAAAGACACTACAAGAAAATACAGACCAGCATTCCTTATGAATAGTGATGCAAAAATCCTCAACAAATAGCAGCAAACTGAATTCAACCACACAGCAAAAGGACCAACTGGGATTTATTCCTAGAATGCAAGAATGGTTCAAGATTTAAAACCCATCAAGGCAAATATATCATATTAACAGAATAAAGGGGAAAAAATCCGTATAATCATCTCAATCAATGCAGAAAAAACATTTAATAAAATCCAACACTTTTTTTTTTTTTTTAATTTTTTTTTTCAACGTTTATTTATTTTGGGACAGAGAGAGACAGAGCATGAACGGGGGAGGGGCAGAGAGAGAGGGAGACACAGAATCGGAAACAGGCTCCAGGCTCTGAGCCATCAGCCCAGAGCCTGACGCGGGGCTCGAACTCACAGACCGCGAGATCGTGACCTGGCTGAGGTCGGACGCTTAACCGACTGCGCCACCCAGGCGCCCCTCCAACACTTTTTAATAATAAAAATAACCAGCAAACAGGAATAGAAGAAAATACTTCAACATAATAAAGGCCATATATACAAACCCAACAACTAACATCAGACTCAATAGTGGAAGACTGAAAACTTTTACTTTAAAATCAGAAACAAGAAAGGATGTCTGTTTTCAACACTTCCATTCAACATAACATTGGAAGTTTTAGCCAGACCAATCAGGAAAGTAAAAGAAATAAAAGGCATCCAAAGTGGGAAGAAGAAATAAAATGATCTGTTCATAGATTACATGATCTTATATGTAGAAAACCCTAAAGATTCCACAAGGAAGGAAAATAACTGTTAGAACTAATAAATTCAAGGTTACAGAACACAATATCAACACACAAAAATCAGTTGTTTCTATACACTATAATGAACAATCTGAAAAGAAAATTAAGAAAATAATTCTATTTACAATAGCATCAAAGGAA